AACAATACTTGAATGAAATGGCAACAATTTTACGACTTAAACCACTAATCCAAAATGAAAATGAAAAAAACAAAAACAAGCAAAACACATTTTTTGACTAATATTGTATTGTATTTTGAGCCCAAAGAAAATATGAAAAACAACCCTATTCAACAAAAAAGTTGAGAGAAACTCGTTTAAAACCACAAAAAAAAATATATAAAAATTATTTGATAAAAATAAAGAAAAAAAAAAAAAAACTTTTTTCGTTGTGTTGAATTTAATTATAATTATTATTATTAATTATTATATTTAAACTTATGATTTGCCCATGAGGATAGGTGCGACTATATGTATGTGTCAGGGTTCTTTTAGTTGGACAGTATATTTAAACTTCAAATAGTTCATTGTAATGGGATAAATTGACAATGTATACTGAAATCAGGAGCTTCCGAAAGACTACAAACAAATTACCACTAAAAATTGTGAATGTCTTTTGAGATGAAAATAGATATAGTTAGGAATAAAATATGTACATAGTTACTACTATGAATAGCATAAAGAGCACCCTCTTCTTCAATGGGGCAGGGCGGTAAGAGTTATGAGTATAAAAAATTTAAACAGCCTCAATCAAATCTCGCAATAATTCCTTAATGACACAAATACATATTTGAAAAAAAAAATATATATATATATTTATATATGATATTTATATTATATATGATTAAAAAATATATATAGAACATATTACAATATATTATTTACTTTGTTTTTATGGATATGCTTATTTGTTCGCACAAATACCGTTATAAATCACGCAACATTAAAGAGCAAGCATGATTGTGCTTGTTCTCATTGTGCGCAGCGTGCCGCAATTTGCGCTGCGCGCGTGTTTTATGAACGAATCATTGCCCCGGCAGGCAGACAGATGCATTTTCCTCGTTGTAAACTTCTATTTGCATAAAACTTATAAGAATCACAGCAACTCGTACACAAGCCTAACATAAGGAGAAAAGGCAGAATAAAAAAAAAGTACGAAATGGACTCACGTCAAAAATAAAACAAACGCGAAAGGCAAAATCGAAATGAAAGTCATGAAATGAACATTAAATTAAACGAAATACAAAAACTTCGTACACTGAATATTGCATCTTTCCTTTTAACTCAATTTGGTTTAGTTAAAATAATTGCACTTAAAACTCACCTAACTATCTATTGAGTATTATTTATTTTTGGTAATGTCCAAGTTTTCACACTACGTTCCGTTACCGTCCGAACAGGATGACTGTAAAATTACAATGAAAGCATTAAAGTGAAGTACGAAAGAGCAGATCACAGAGGAATCTGAAGCTGACATTTTGGAATTTGCCGTTTACTTCAGCACCAGGGTTGCCAACGCTGCTGACCTGTGCAAAATTTTAAGAGCGTCAAGCAATATATGGCTGCCAGCGGGATGTTGGCAACTCTGAAATATAACGGTGAAAGAGAAGTGCAGGAGAATTGAGAATTGAGCAAAAATTAATAAATGTGAAATAATGTTCGGATGCTCTATTGTTAGAGGCATTCTTATATACATTTTTTAAATATTTTTATATAAATGAACTACTCTATATTTGCAAATAAATATGTTAAGGTCTCTGACAATATTTTACGAATAAACGCATTTATCGTTTTAAAAATTTGCAGAAAAAGCAGACAGTATAACTTTTTCCTTGCACAACTCTATTTTTATTATTTTACACCATTAAAAAACAAAATGTACTCACCACTTATAAAGAACTGATTTAATTAAAACACACACGCCAAGTTTCTTTTTTTATTAATTTTCAGCGCGTCCAGTTCGAAACGTTAACACTGCAAAATAGCTTTTGGCACTTAGCAGAGGATGACAATGTGACCGTTGTTGCATCAACATAAAAATACCATTGCACTGTTAACAGCACCTACTCAAAAAGGCACTCTTACGTGTTCAGCATATGCGGCGGCCGCGGCATTTGGAACTAGTTCTAGAATAGAATAACTCTAAAGAATACATAAAAGAAAAATTAGTAAACAACATTTTATTGGAGGGAAATAATGTAATAGACTAATTGCGACAAACTAAACTAAGGAAACACATTGAAAAGCAATAACTGAAACTAATTAAACCACATTTAACATAACCTCTGTTCTGTCAAACATTCTCATTTAACCAGATTTCAAACCTGTCGAGAAAATGAGCGTCGAGGACGAAGTGTTTCGGATTCAAAAGAAAATTGGCAAAATTTCAACTTCCAGCGATGGAACAGTAAGTAAATGCAATTAAATTATAGTTAGGTTAATATATAGTTTGTCTATAATTAGCGCCTATATTTCGTTGAATGTTACAGGGCCAGGATCAGGCGCTTGATTTGCTCAAGGCACTGCAAACCCTCAATATTAATCTGGAAATCTTGACCAAGACACGCATCGGGATGACGGTGAATGAGCTGCGCAAGAGCAGCAAGGATGACGAGGTGATTGCCCTGGCGAAGACTTTAATCAAGAATTGGAAACGTTTCCTGGCCAGTCCGGCACCACCCACGGCCAATACCAACAGCAACTCCACGCCCAAAGAGGCGATCGGAGCTGGAGGCAATAAAGAGAGCAGCAACAGTTCATCAAAGTCAACATCGAGCGCCAGCAAATCTAGTTCCAGCGGCAAAGACAAGTCCAGCAGCAGTAGTTCGACAAAGGATAAGAGGGAGGAGAAGAAGCCATCGTCGGCGCAAACGTCATTTCCAGCCGGGGGCATGACCGATGCAGTTCGTCTCAAATGCCGTGAGATGCTGACGAATGCGCTGAAGATGGGCGAGGTGCCCGAGGGCTGTGCCGAGCCCGAAGAGATGGCCGCCGAGCTGGAGGATGCCATCTACTCGGAGTTCAAGAATACCGATATGAAGTACAAGAATCGCATCCGATCGAGAGTCGCCAATCTGAAAGATCCGAAAAATCCGGGCCTGCGTGGTAATTTCATGTGCGGCGCCGTCTCTGCCAAGCAGCTGGCCAAAATGACACCGGAGGAGATGGCCAGCGATGAAATGAAGAAGCTGCGCGAAAAGTTCGTCAAGGAGGCAATCAACGACGCCCAGCTGGCCACCGTGCAAGGTACCAAAACGGATCTACTGAAGTGCGGCAAGTGCAAAAAGCGGAACTGCACCTACAACCAGCTGCAGACGCGATCCGCCGACGAACCGATGACCACGTTCGTCATGTGCAACGAATGCGGCAATCGGTGGAAGTTCTGCTAAATTTGTCCCATTTATCCGCTACCCCCTTTTTTATTCACCTCCCCGACTACGGCCCGCCCAGCGCACTTCAGCTCTTTATAATACAAAAGTAAAATTTCAAACAAATTTGGATGCATTCACTGACCACCTAAAGAACTAAAAAACAATTCAATAATACAAAAATAAATAATAAATACATACATATATATGCATATGTATAACTGTACGAATGTACATACATGTTATTTTTTATCAGTATTTTGCCCGCTTTTAACTTGAGGTACAGTATGCACGGCAGCCAGTGTTGCCAGCTGTAGTGTTTATTTTTTCACGCCTCCAGCGGGCTTTCTACCTGTTCAAGTTTTTGCAGAAATTCAAAACCAATTGAGAATTATTTTATTCATTAGTTATAATAGAACTTAAGATATCTAATTATTTTGTTAAATATTTAGTTAGATTTGTATACAAAAAATGTATTTATTTCTTATATTTCTACAAAAAATGATTGGAACTTATTTATAATAATATCAGGATCCCGAATACAATAAATATTAAATTACAAGAGAACTTACACTACACACATACATACACAATTAGCCTCTTTTAGCAGTTTACGTAACATTTTACGACGTAACCTGTCACGTAACGGTTAGACCTAATTTTGTCCATTCATGTTTCAAATGCACATTACAGAACGCATAAGGCGGGTGCGTGCATGCTGAAAACAGGGTTTTCAATTGTGTGCGTGATTTTATTTTTGGCATTAGCAATGGCGTCGTTAAGTATTTTTTGAAGGGATAATCGACAGCCGTTGCTATGACTCCTTAGGTTACGCAAAGAACGGTTCAATTATTATAACGCGAACGCTTTTGTGACGTAACATTTTCAAAGAATCGGACATCAGACAATCTATTTAACACTCTCTTTGACTAAATGTGTACTTTCTGGTAATCCTCAATCATTTGCTGCAATAATACAATTTAAAAATAATAATAATACAAACCAAAAATAAACATTTATACAATATCAACATCTGTGCTGCATTAACCAAAAAAAAAATGTTCAGCACACTTGCACCACTAGAAAAATTTAATAAGCAACAAACGCACAGATGACGTCAGAAATTGTTTATAAACGGTCACAATTAAAAAGACTTACCATTTGACCAATAAACAGTTTGGTCACACTGCTACAGTTAAGCAGACTTTTCTTTAGTATCGTAGACAGGTCACATTGCCGACAGTTCACAAATTTTGTTAGCAACGATCGGTTGTGTTCGGTTTTGTGCTCGGTTGGTTATTTTGGTTGTTGAGGTAACTACCGTTAAAAAGCAACAGCTAGAAAGAAAGAAAAAGAAGAAAGAAAGAAAATAAGCACCCAAGTCAATAACAAAATTAGCTAAGCAAATGTGTTTACGCGTGTGTACTTAATGATGGCAATTATTTTTCATTTAAGTTAAACTCAAAGTTAAAGTCCAAGCGGCCATTGTTAACCTGTTGCGCGACTGCACTCGCACTCACTGGCACTCGATGGTGCGTGACCTATTTATGTAACCTGTTTTAAAGAATATACCGCTTCAACAAAAATCTCCCATTGCTACAAGTTTCGGCCCGACTCTGACTCTGGATCTGGTCTGGGTCTGGAACTGGAACTCGTACCTAAACGGGGCTGAAAAGTGAACAAAGTGTTAATTATAGTATATACGCGAATAGCTGTTGGCTTAGAACATGAGAAAAAAGATTCGTTTGTTATCGAACGTTGTTTTAAACAGTCAAATGCTCTCTTAAAACTCAATAATGGTGTAAAAAAACATGAGTGCATTCACCCTGCAAGTTATGTGCTAGTGTGTGTGTGTAAAACTAGAAAAGTGCGCTGAAAAACTAATAAGAGTATCAGAGATAGCCAAGGGCGTAGGTATTACTGTTTTTTAAGGGTCATAAGTGAAACTGACACCCATCTGTATGTGTGTGTGTGTGTGTGTGTGTGTGTGTATCAACAGATGAGCTGAGACGTGGCTGCATTATGGCTAAGCCTCTGACCAAATTATGGTTAGCTACGCTTCAGGTTTCGTTGACTAGAACGGTACTAATAAGCGCATACACATAAACACACACACATAGGTGCAAACAGCGAGAGAGAGCGCGAAAGAGCGAAAGAGTTTAATAAATAACAGCACGTCAAGACACACACACACACACTTGGACACCTGTTAAAGAGAGTGCCCTGTGTAAAGAGCGGCTCACACTGCACATTCGTATAAATGGGTGCCTCCACACTGCGCGCTCTCTACCTCTGCCTCCTTCTTTTTTTGCTCACACACATTCAATTCATAGAAAAGTTGGAAAGAAAAAAAAGTGGATAGCTTGCTGCTCTCAAGCCTTGAGCTTGCGCTTGAGCCGGGGTTAGAATTTTATACAACAACAACAGCACTTGTTTGGCCGGTTTGTTGCACAACGGGACATTTTGTAGCTTGCTGCGCTGAGAACCCTTTTCAATAAAAACACCTAAAACGCTACACTTAATGTGTATTTTGTTTTTGCTTCTCTGCTATTGTTGTTGTTGTTGGCTTTGCAGCTTTCGCGACTTTGCAGCCGCCACACGCAGCCAGCGACGGCAGCGTTGACTGCGACTTTCTGTTTGTTTGGTGAAACTTTTTTAAGGTCGGCATCGGCATAATAAAAAAAAAAAAACACAAATGCACACACACACACACACACACACACACATACACGCATAGCAGTCATAACTAATACAACGCGCTTTGTATATTTTGGAAGACGTAAAAGAGAGCAGCGGTAAATGCTTCTTATACGCCACTGCAGCCTTAACAGTTGAAGTGCTGTTAATGTCAAAGTGAAACAAAAACAACAGCAACAAAAAGCGATTTTTTCTTTTTGTGAAGTATGCGATATGTTAACATGCAGATAGACATTATACTTATAGTTAAAACGTAATGTACGTGGCAGCGCTGTACGAACTTTCACTAATGACTTGGTGAACTCTGCACACATGCATTCGTTCACACACACACAGACATTCATTCGTACGCACACACAGGCACGTGCTAATCCCATACGTGTTGAAATGTGATATAGTATATACAAATCAGATATATCTCTTTTTAGCCGCTGTTATCGCTGACATGCATGCACTGTTACGGTTTTTTTTGCCAAATTCTAATTAGATAGTTTATAGCAGAAATCGTGTCTCGAATCTAATAAGAAATTCACATACTCTGTAGAAACGTGCTGATATATACTAATTAGTTTGAGTGTGACAGAACTGAGTTGCAAAATCTAGTAATATATATGTATACAACATATGTATGCATTGTCGAATGCCAATCAGAATTACGTATATTCTGTTATACAGCTTCGCCGAAATGGGCAAACGCGTATTCTTATTAGGTCGTAATGATAAATAAAGTAATTTGTTGCATTGGTTCACTTCTTATCTCATTCTAATTAGAATTCATGTACGATACCATAGAAATTAAAACGGGCAAACTCTAATCAGATAGGGTATCTTTGTTATTAATATCACAATCCAAGCAGAATATTATGCTTACCTGTCCACTCTTCCACAAATTCCAACTAGAACCATCCGAATATGCAATTGGAACGTGCTTTAACTTCAATGACAATGTTTATATTTACT